ATTTTAAAAATTTTACCATAAAAAATATTTTTCAAAATTATTATTTTTTTTAATAAAATTAATAAATAATATTCTATTCAGTTTTAGAACGGGCCGTTCTGGTTTCAGAACGGACCGTTCTGGTGCACTCTTGGTGTGTAAATTTTGCATTTGGAACGGCCTGTTTCTGATGCAAAATTAACACACCAAAAGCGCATCCAGAACGGCCCGTTCTGGTTTCAGAACGGGCCGTTCTGGTTCCAGGTGTTTACAAAAACAAATTCATCCACGTGGCATCCACTTATGCATCTAGGTGGCATCCACGTGGTCAATAATTAACTCCGTTAAAGAAATTTGGACGGAAGTCCCACATTGAAACCAATTAATTTATTAGGGACCAAATTGAAATCAATTAATTAGTTTAAGACCAAATTGAGACAAAAAATAAAAGCGGGACTACATTGAAACAGAAAAAGATTATAAGGGACCAAAATAGGTATTTAGCCTATTATTTCCCAATCTTATTCGAGATTTTTACACATAATATTTTTTTTTATAAAAAAATTACTCAAATAGCAACCGTGCAAATTTATTTACCAAACTAGCATAGTCTACTGTTCATATTATTTTTTATTTTTATTTTTTTATTTTGGGTTTAGGTCATTTATGAATTTTGCATCTAGAATGGGTCGTTCTGTAACGCGAACAACATGTTCTGGCTCGTGTGTTATTTTTTGCATCTAGAACGACCTGTTCTTAAATCAGAACGGACCGTTCTAGAGTTGAGTTTTATCTCATAATCTCAATGTTGGAACGGTCCATTCCAAACTAGGGATTTTAGGCTTTTTTAGTCGTTTGGAACAGGCTGTTCTGGTTTTGGAACGGGCCGTTCTAGCCACTTCTATGCACTATGTCTTTTTATCAATGTAATATGAATTTTAATGTTTAGGATTTTTACTTTTAATGCATTATGTCGCTTATAAACTATTATAACTATACATTATTTAGACATGTCTTCCTAGTGTGATGTGCAGGTTATCTAGGCTTTTCATTATTAGTCACAGTTTGATTCGTACGAGTTTCGAATCTATTAAGACAATGTCCCATTATTATCATCTCGTGTTTTCAAGTTTAAGACATTATAGCTTCATACTTCAAAGGTGTCTCCTTTAAATCTAGCTTCAAACTTAGCATTGCAGCGAACACAATCTACCCTTTCAACACAAACACAACATAATCTCAGAGACTACCATCAAGTAATTAAATTTATTGAATGTTAACATTATAAATACAACTAAATAAATTTATTAAAACTCATTATAACAATAAAGATCAATGGTGGCGGGAACTAAATCCATGACTAATATTTGGACATGTCTTCCTAGTATGACTAGAGGTGTGGCAATAGGAACAATTTTTTACACGATTATGTTGTTCTCTAATGTCCATCTCTATTCTAATCCTGTTGGACTTTGGCCAATCCTTGAAAGTTCTCTTGAGTTCTGGATTTGGCCACAAAGTTGGACTGGTGTAAGTAGGCCAATAATCTTCATGTCGGAGCTTGCTAAACTGTCTTTCGTATACCTTTGCAACTTGGTGGATTATTTGGAACTGGGAGGGTTTCTTCTTCATCATCATCTTGATGTTCAGAGAGGATTTCGTCTTCATCCTCGCTAAAAGGATCAAAGACATTTTCTGTTGGGAGACCAACAAGAAGATGATCTTCAATGTTGGTTTGAACATCACACTAGAAAGACATGTCCAAATGATGTATAATTATAATAGTTTATAAGTGACATAGTGCATTAAAGTAAAAATTCTAAACATTAAAATTTATATTACATTGATAAAAAAGACGTAGTGCATAGAAGTGGCCAGAACGGGCCGTTCCAAAACCAGAACGACTTATTCTAAACTACTAAAAAGGCCTAAAATTCCTAGTTTGAAAGGGGCCGTTCCAACATTGAGGTTATGAGATAAAACTCAACTCTAGAACGACTTGTTCTAGTTTAAGAACGGATCGTTTCAGATGCAAAAATAACACACGAGAATGCATGCAGAACGGGTCATTCTGGTTGTAGAACAGGTCATTCTAGGTACAAAATTCACATATGACCTAAACTCAAAACGAGAAAAAAAAAATAAAAAAAATATGAACAGTAAATTGTGTTAATTTGGTAAATAAATTTGCACAGTTACTATTTGGGTAAATATTTTTAAAAAAAATATTATTTGTTTAAAAAACTCGTTTTAAACAGCAATGATGATAAAGAAGAAAAAAAATTAATTCAAAACTCAAGTATTTAAATTTTAAAAATAATGAGGCTGGTAAAAGTTTAAATTCTCCTGGTTCTTCATCTAAACATTACATTTTTAACATAAAATTATTAATGTACAATTTATCCTTTAATGCATATTGTTAAGTCTCAATTTTACCTCTTTTTGGATGAGACTTATTGAACAAATTCCACTCATCCTTTGAACCATTGCAATATAATTGTTCTCTTTTTGGTTCATTTTGTGTGCAGATATAACTAACCCAAATTCAGCTAACAATACCTTAATACACCTCATTTTTTGTGCAGGTATTGAGCTAGTGACTTGAGGATTGAAGACTCTTAGGATTGGAAACCTAAGAAGCTAAGGAGCAGAGAAGAGGTTCTGCGCCGGGCTCAATATAACCTGCGCTGGGCGTGACAAAAACAGAGTATTTCATCTCTGCCAGTTATATTGCGCCGGGCGCAAAAGGAATTAAGCCGGGCGCAAAAGGAATTAAGCCGGGCGCAAAAGGAATTGCGCCGGGCTTGTGTTGAGACAGAGAGTGCTTGACTTCTCTGGAAGAACTTGCGCCGGGCGCGAAGAATTGTGCGCCGGGCGCGGAACCCTAATCTGATCTCCCAGGCTCGTATTTGAAGCCATTTTCGGGGATCTTTCTCTCCATTCTCACATTGGGCGCCTCCAGGAGCTGCGGAAGGGATTCCCAGGGCTTGGGATCGTCCGTGTGCGGATCTTTCCTTCGGTTCTTCATTTCCTCTTCCATCTCTATTTTGTATTTGCCCTCTTTGTTGAGTGGTTTCACCCATTTTGTGGGGTTAGATGTAACCAACGTACTCTATTGTAATCTTTACGGTTTTAATGATATATATACATGTTGTTTTATTCTTTGTTGTGTTTGTTTCTATTCTTAATGCTTGCTTTGGATTGATCACCCTTTGCATGATTTAAGGTTCCATGGGTATTGGAAAATAACCTTTGAAACTAGTTCTGAAACATATGCCTAGTGGTGATTGTATCTAGGGATAGAGCTTGACCCATTAGTAGTCTTAAACCCTAGCCCGTAATGCGGGTGTAGATATTGGGTACTCAAGGGATTGATATTCAATATCCGCACCTAGGCTCTTTCTCTAAGGGATTAGGTTTGAGTAAACTCTTGGGTTGACTAAGCAATGAATTCAACAAGAGATTAAGGATACATTAGTGTTACGTTTGGTGAAATCTGACCCCCACAACCTCACAATACCACAATACCATTCCTTACCTTTTCCACTCACAAAACAATATTTATTTACAGCTTTCATTCCAATAGTCTTAACCTTGAATTCACATGACAAATTATTAAATTGGAATTATTTTTTAGTCACGAATAGTCAATAAATGCTTATTTTACCTTCTAATCCCTGTGGATACGATATTTTTACTACTTGAACGGCCGGTATACTTGCCGTGTTTGAGACCGTTGATAGAATTAAACTAAATTTCAATTATAACAAAAGTACTTCAACGGAAAT